CTCTCAGTTGATTCGATACGCAAGAGCATGCTCTACGTATGAACAATTTCTTAAACGAGGTAAATTATTGACAAACAAGTTGATGAAACAAGAATATCAGCTGTCTCGTTTAAAGTCATCATTTCGTAAGTTCTATGGTCGATACAATGACCTTGTCAGCAAATACAATTCATCATTGAGTCAAATGCTGACTGACGTTTTTCATACTAATTGTTAGGCCATTATTTACACACTGAATTGTCGACGGATTTTTCCGTTATTTCCCGATCATGACAAGGAGTACACGGCGGGTGTAACCGGTCGGCAGGGGATGCTCACTCCTCCATGGCACCTGATCCCACCTCTGATGTTTAGAGGTCCGTGTTTGCTCTGCTCCTATTTTGTATTGTTTAATGGACTTTTGAGCTTGAATACTGTTCGTTATCTCCATATATTTCATAGATCGCTATACAAGGATCTGGAGAAACCCCATCCAGGGTCATCTCCTGGTGACCATTCAATTATCCAATCAAACGTTTGCTTGCAAGAATTAAGAAGTATCTCTGAATTCAGTTACAGAAGTGAAAGCCCCGATCATACACAAACGGAAAATTGTGACCTGGTTTCCGTAGCCTGTCAAAAGAACGACCACAGTCTTTTCTGTACAGAAGTATATTTAGTATTTGCTTTTGCCTTGTTTTTTAGGTCTTTGTTTTGTACGAAACGATAAGATCTTCTCCACAGCTACTTTCACTTCTACATTCATTTTCCCGAATGTCGCTTAAAGAACGATCTCTCTGATTAGTCAAAATTTTATTGAATATTTTTATTAGAAAGGTCACTAGGAGATGACCCTTAATGGAGTTTCTTCAGATCCTTGTGTAGCGATCTATGTCAGCGGATCAAAGGACCTGATTTTAATCAGATTGTGTCTAATTTAGCCTTTACGAAACAGTTCTAATAGATGTAAAAAGAATATAAAGTCTGCCGACAACCTGTATTATACGTAATAACTTACCACATGCCCCTGTGCTAAAAATAGTACCAAGCGACTTTTAAGACAAAAAATAAATAAATAAATAAATTTAAAAAAAAAGGGGGGGGGGGGCAAATTTGAAAGCAAAATTCTATTCAAACCAGAGAAGTTAACCTCGTTTCTGTAGGTTACTTTCTGCATTTCCCTCTATCTATACTATACAAAGATAAACGAGAAATCTATAGTTTTACCATTTATTCTTTGTTTCTTTCTCATCATAAATATAAAAAGTAAACAAGCACTAGAGAATAAATAATGTTTAAGAAGCTATAGTCACAAAAATTAGCAAAGTGACACAGTTCATATCACAAGACACACGACACACTGTGTTTCGCTATACAGCACTACAATAGTCACTACAAAATAAGCTTTGAACTGTCACATCTCATTAAAGATAGCTTGGCACCACAATATAGTCACTAAAAAATTAAACTGTCATAGTTAATATCACACGGCACACGGTGGTTTACTCGAGCTCGGTGTTGACTGAGGGGCAGTAACAGTTCGAGATCGCACGGAGGAAATGGCTTGTCGACCAGGCATCAGACATGTACTCCTCCCAGGCCTTTTCGATCCTCTTCTCCATCGCCGTGTATCTTCTGTTGGTATCCCTCTCGAGATCTCCAGCCCGAACAGTGACGTCCACGATATCCGCCTCTTGCCGTAGCTGTGGAATCAGCTTGTAGAATGGCAATCCTCCATGTCTGGCCATCGTGTTCAACCGGTTATGCCACCCTGAAAAGAATAAGCAACTTTATTTAGTTGTTCAATCTATTATTCCTTATTGTATATATTTTTTAATTGTATCTAAATCTGCTTTATGCCACTTTATGAGTCAAAGACAATATTTAATTCTAGTTGAAAAACATAATGCATAAAAAATAACATTATGCATAAGAAATAAGTATCATAGTTACCTTCAACATCGTTGTTTGTACGGATGGTGCGTTGAAACAGAGACCAGTCCTGCACCCTCAACACTCGGTGACGGAACCATTGGCGGTCGATGTACTTGACTAGGTCTTGCATGTGAAACGTGTTGGTTCTGTGTTTCAGGTGTGGGAAGATGTCCACGATGTACTGGGCAGGCAGAAAGAGCAGCGCAAGGAGTTGGCGGATGTACTTGTGGACTGCTTCTTGATCCCTGTATGCTCTCACCACAGGACTCTACGTGCCTCCAGATCGCTTGCGTCCAATGGAATATGCACTCCTTGAATGCTACTGCTGGAAAAACACGGCGAATGGCTAACCAGGCACTTGAATTTGAAAATAAATATTACTTTGATTTTAATTGAATATTCCAGTATACATGTATAATATTACAAAATTAAGTTGGACATTAAGCATTCTTTTTCCATTAAATATTGTATGGATAGTAGTTGATGAATTTTAATTTTTTCTTCTTCTTATATATCATTTTTTAGATCAAAGGTATCATATCTTCAGAGGTAAAACCTTGCTCATCCGCTGCTCAGCTCCATAATTGTTCTATTCGCGTCTCAGTCATTTGTTTTCAAAACATAACGCAGATTGTAAAAAAAAAAAAAAAAAAAACACGGACATGATCCCCTAAATTACAGTGACATTATTAAGTATAATTAAACCAATTAAGCATGTAAAAAGCTCATATATCAAATTTGAATAATTTAATTAAGAAAAAAAATTACTATGTCAACATTTGGAAAAAAAAAGAAGAAGGATTTTTCAACGCACAGACTGCAATGCTGTTTTAAGGATTAATTGTGGGATTCTTACGAGATGCAGAGTCAATCCGATAGCATGAACTAAGACAGAAATATATGTAGAGACAGTGTGAACCGACATTTTAGGTTAAAAATTCTACTGCAAAGAAATTTCCGAAATATACGTTAAACTTTACAGCCATTCGTTGCTCGAGTACGACCGAGTCAACCATTTTTTGTCCCAAGTCACCTACATATTGACGTCATTCTCACATTGTGACGTCACAAAGAACGAGTCAAAACATTATATAACATGTGCTATTTCTAAAACATGTATATGACTGTATGTGTGCCAAACTGAATTGTGGTTTTGTAAATATAGAGATAGTTCGTTAACTTTTTGATCACTCCTCTTATGTAATGTAGTTTCTTTTATTGTCCCTCTTAGTGACCTTAAAAAATGTCCAAAAAGTAGCCATCATGGTCATAAAAAATGCCTGGTCCCTTATTTACTAATACTTAAATTACTTTTATTTATTTGAAAGAAGAAAAAATATAAAATTGTGAATACTATTACTCTTGTAGTAAGATTTTAATGAGAGAAAAAAAGGGGTGAGAGAGAGCAAATACCTCTGTATTAGCACCGTCAATATTTTACATTAAAAAATTGAGTATAATTTATCCATCTAAACACAACATCTTAATAAATTTTCAAATTAATTTAATATTTACAGTATGCCAGGATTTAGTCCAAAATATTTCAACTGCATTTTTGTGTGGATTTGGAACTAAACCAAGAAATCGGAGACATGTACGGAATGATATACAGAAATACTGAGAACAAAGTTTCATGCTTGAGTCAAAAATTGGTAAACAATTTGCAATAAATGCGTATACACATTTCACAGAACCAAATATTACAGTCCTGCGGAGAAAATACAGTGCACGGTTAAGGAAGCTAATAAATCTGATAGTTCCAAGTCATCCTGTCCATCACATATTAGACTAAATATCCAAAGCGCTGTATATAAGATCACACTCTTACATCAGTTTATGTAAGCGCCCTGGTCCTAAGTTGATTACTGTGCCAGCTGGAGTAAGATTTAAATTTTTCTTGATCTTAATGATCTACCACAGGCACCAAACTCGCTTGAATTTTTGACCCCCTAGTATATTATAAAAAGAAGGTTATGAACTCTGCCATTTATTTTTGACACCCCTTCGCTTCAGAAGCTATTTAATTTAACAAAACGGCAAAACTTCCACTTTTTCATGCTTGCAGTGAATAAAATAAACTCTCTTCTTATTGCATACCAATTTTCACCGCTGGATCCTACGTAGTTCTTGAGATGTACCCCCATGTCTGTTATTTCTAAGTAGGTCGTACATTTACTGGCAGGCCGATTTCTACTTTCGCTTCAAGAGTGAACATACTTATTGCACGATGCCATTACTATCATTAACATATATCAACAAGCAGAGTCGCAAAAGAATATCACTTACTCTATCTATGTGTTATTTAATCCATTATAAAGCCGCAAATGCAAATAAATTATTCGTTGTTCACTGGCTGTCTGTAACTTCCGGCCATTTTGTTTTTCCCGAATACCCAAATGAAAGATGCGCACTGATTGGACAATCGTTTGGCGGATTTTTTCGGAAGAACTCCATACTCATCGCTTATTTTCAACGTAAACACCTATGGATATTGAAGAAGCATGGCTGTCATTACTTGGTATTCATTTATTTTTTTTAATTCGATAATGCTGTGAATTTTTTGATGTCAAGTTCGTTTGTTTATAGAAATTAAACAGAAATTGAATAATTTAAGAAATTTTAGTCCAAATTAACAGTAATCAAAATTATCAAGTATAGTCTATACTTATAGTGGCGGACTTGGGGCGAGCGCATCTGGCGCCCCATGTAGATATGACAATACAATCCATGGTTCTATTTTGAAAGATATTTCTTATCTGATAAAGTAGTTTTATTTCTATATCCTTGCAATGCAGATGTAGCTGGGCGCTACTTCAAGGACTCTATTTTTTCCCAGTATAACACATATTTCATATGATTGTGTGTAACCATGCGCATGTTTGATGAAAACTATAAATTAATAAATAAATAAAATCTTAAGATAAATCAATAAATTTCTAACCTATACAAGAATCACATCATACACACAGTTAGTGCTACATCTCTTCCTCATAGTTCTCTTTTCAACACCCCCCCCCCCCTTCCCCCAGAGAAGAAGACTCAACAATTTATACGTAAAGATATTTTCTTTATTATTCAGTATTCGAGCGTTTATGACTTGACAAGAATCTGCTTTCTGTGAGCCATTTTTTTATGTATGGACAAACATGAAAGAATATCTTTTCTGTACTGGTTTAACATCACCATCATGAATTTCTCAGTCAAAACTTTGTATAAAGTTTCTATAGCATTTACTCTGCCAGTCATTTCATCTAATAGAACTTCAACACTCTGTGACTGTAAAAATTCAGCAGGAGGGGAAAAATTAACTGCATCAAGGAATAACTGATAAAGTTTCCCATCACTATGTATTTTTTCTTTGCATGCTTCATAAATATTGTTACCATGAATGTTTAAATTTTTCTCAATAAAAACACTTAAACACAAGTCACATACAGACATGAAGAAAAGAAACATTTTGTCTGTTATATTTGTAAGACCTCTTGAAATGTTCTGTTTGACAGCTGTCTCTATAAGTGTCTGGGGAAGGGATGAAGTTCCACCAATTATAATTTCATTTTCTCTAAAGTTATCTAGGATCTGTATTATTGTGAATGCTTCATCATATTTTTTCTGATTTGACTCTCCTATCTTAAAACTTCTTTGACGAAGAACTTTATTGTAGTGGTGGCGTGTCTTTGCCACACAGTAACCTCCAAAATATCTCACTTTCCCTAAGCTTTCTTCAGTGAGACTTCTTTTTTTAAAACATTTACCCCTAATTTTGTACACTTTTTCCAGCTGACCAAGAATAAACTTCCTAATATGAACAAAAATGTTAAAAGCAATGTGTGCCATTACCTGTGGTGATACAGGATGAATTTGGCACACATCAAAAAACATCAGTAGGGTACATGCCTTAAATTCATCAGAAGTTTGAAACTGATGGCACTGTTTGAAAAAATGTGTGAGTTTGTCTGGTTTTACTGCTATAGGATTTTCCCTATCAATTTTTAATTCCACACACTCGGTCATAACAATGAAAGTATGACTGCAAAATTTTTTTTACATCATAGTCAAAATTTCCGGTCAAAAGTGTATCAATTACACAATTTGTTTGTTTTTGTACTGTAGTCTCTGCATCTTGCACATAAATATTTGTCAAAATTGTATGGATATCTAAGCCCTCGGGTAATGCAATCACTTCTGAATCATCAGTTTGAACACATTTAATATCATCTAGAATACTGTCAATGTCACCATGTGAGTCTTCAACATTCTCCCACATGTCATGTTCCTGTGCAATTGGTTCAAGATGATGAATTTCTTCAAATGCCCTTTCATTACACCTGATTCTGAAAATAAATAAAATATGAATTAAGTGTCTGCAAAATGAAATCATACAATGCATAATGACAGAATACTGACATTTATAAACTTGCTTTGAGATTATCTGCAAAATGTTATATATTACACATTCAATCAAATGAATCCACAAAGTCAACCAAGTTCAATAAATATTTAGTAAATATATATCAGTGTACATGTGTACCTCTAATTACTTTATGATCTGATTTTAAAAAAAAGGTTAAGGGGGCAATTTTTTCCCCTCCATTTGTTGTTTTGACAGTTTCTAATTAAAATTTGCTACTGAGAAATTTGAAAATATTTTAGATCCAAAGATAATACATGTAATAAATTTCAACATATCATGAAAATAAATAAAAAAAAAAAAAGGTCATATCCTGAACAGAATGGAAATGAAATATACCATGTACAAGACTTTGCTACCCCAGAAACATGAACATTTTATATTTCTTCTTTCAGGCTGCTTAACAGGCTAGCACAAGAAGATGGCAGTGAACTTGACTTAAACAATGTGTTCCATCAATTCCAATTTGAAAATGTTGAGGGAAGCTCAGAGAATCAAGAAATAAATTTAGAGTGGTTTTCTAAGTACCTTAGAGCAGTTTTTCCTAATGTTGTTGTGAAACGAAAGACTATCAATAAGAAACAATTTCGAATCATAGAAAATATCAAACTTAAGTGTTTACCAGTTCTTAGCAGAGAGAAAATAGATTTTGATAAACTGGTCGAGTTAATTCCAAGATTTGTTGTCATGAAAAAGAGAGAGAAATCTGTCTTCACATGTTCTGTCATTTCAGGATGTAAAAGCAATGGGAATGATATCCATAAAAGTGTGAGTTTTAACCTTAATGGTACATGGCAATTGTCTGTGGGTGGGAAAAATGTTGATCTTTATCCTCTTTTGATTGATCCTACATACTGTTGTGAAAAAGTCAACATTCTATCTATATTTCAAGCAATTCAGCTTCTGAAAGTATGTGAGGGAGTAACTGCAAAAGCATCACAATCTGTAATATGTACCCGGTTCCATACCACAGAAATGTTTCAAAATGAGTCTAATGAAAACAGGGGTAAGATTTTCAAACTGCGTTCAGTGTTATGTGACAAAATTGTGCCACTTTTGACAAGAAACAAGATCTGTGTACATTGTAGAAAAATGACATTTACAGAAAAGGGTAAAAATATAGATGTTCTACAAGAAGAAACTTGTGGCCCAGAAAAGGATACAAATATCATTGCTGAAAACTTTAAGAAGATTATTCCAAATGCACCAAATGAAATGATCATGCTTCTTGTTTGTCAAGCTAAGAATATGATGAGATATCCTAATGGATATAGATGGCCCAAGAAAATTATTGCAACCTGTTTACAGTTGTATGACAGAAGTCCTACTGGGTATGATTCTCTACGAAATAGCAAGATGTTAAAATTACCTTCTCCTTCATTACTCATTCTCTATAAAAGTTCAGTGAAACAGGAAATTGGATTTAGGGAAGAAATATTTCAGTGGATGAGAAATGAAGCTGGTCAATTACAAATATCAGCTGAGGGATATTTTGGGGGCATTATATTAGACGAGATGTCAATTCAGGAGGACTTACAAATTCAAAAAAACAACAAATGGGGTGGAACTAGTGGGATTTGTTGATAAAGGTGAGGAAGCAAACATTTGTTCTACACTGAGAGAGGGAGAAAAGAAACAAAAAATAGGGAAACATGTACTGCAGTTTGTCTTTCTTGGGCTGACAGGGTTTAGGTTCCCCTTTGCTCATTTTGTGACAGATGAAGTAAGGGCATATGACTTGCATGCACTGTTCTGGGAGGCAGTTGACAAACTACAAATGCATGGTTTTACTTGCTGCTTTACATCCATGGATGGCGCTTGCTGTAACAGAACATTTTTAAACATCAATGTTATTAGTCCTGGAAATATGATAGTACCAAGCCCATGCAATTTTGAGGAAAAAGTAATATTTACTATGGACTATTCACATGTCATGAAAAAGATAAGAAATAATATTCTCAAAAGCGGGGTAACCAAAGGCTGTACAAGAAATTTAACATTGACAGGAGGTGAAATGATTCAATGGCAGATGTTTCAAGACTGTTACCACTGGGATCAGAAGAATGCTCTAGAGATACACCGTGCACTTACAAATGAACATTTTTATCCTTCGACTTCCTCAAAAATGAGGAACCACCTAGCCGAAGATGTGCTGGACGACAGAATGCTCCACTTGTTCCAGATGTATCAATCATCTCTTAGAAATGGACAGTCGCTGAATGGTGTAATTCAGTTACTTCAGAAAACATCCAAACTGGTCCAGATTTTCCGAGATGTCCGGCCCATTCAGAATACAGATGATCCAAGATTGCATGAACTAGTGAGTGTGAAGGTCTGGTTTGAAGAGTGGAAAAATGGAGCCAAATCATCTAAAGAGCTCTTTTCTAGAGAGTGTAATGAGGATATTGAATCATGCATAAATGGATTTATTCAACTGTGTATTTACCTACTAGGACGTAAGGATGTCAAGATATTTATATCACCAGCACTTGTGAATTCAGATGTAGTAGAGAACACATTTTGTCAACAACGTTCCACATATAATGGACCAAATTCAAATCCGAATGCCCTAGAATACAGAAGAAATTTGAACAGCATAGTTTTTGGTCAAAGAATTGTTTCAAAGAAAGCCAATGCAAGTGTTAGCAATGGTCATCATGTTCAGCCATATACGTTTAGCAAACCTGGTCCATTAAAAAGGAAATCATCAGAGAAAAAGCCATTATCTAGACCAAAGTGTATTAGAATATAAAATTAATATAAAAACAGAAAAAAAGTTTACATAATTATAATGAAATTGGACTGTCATTAATGAAATAAAATATGATAGAACTAAAAGATTTAAAATGTCTAAAGGATGATCAAGAGTACCATTAACTATGAATTGTATGATTTTAAGGCCACTGTAACCCTGTCATGACACAAAGACAACAATCATATATAATAATAAAAAAAATGATAATGACTGTGTTATTTAAATCACTCTGAATTAATGGAAACAAGTGACCCATGGACCTTTAGTTCTCTCAGTTCATTCAGTAATTTGAACAATGAAGTGAAAAGATGTGTAAAGAGGTCATAGCATTCACATTAAAGAGTTAAAAAAGGAAATTGTGATCAGAAAAAAAGTTCTCTTCAGCTGTCAGCTCATGTAAGCTAAAATAAGAAGTCAATTTTGGTTTGATGTCAAGTTACAAAATAGGTAATGTAAAGTCAAATTCAACATCAACTTGTGTGTTGTAAATTATGAATTCATTGCCTTTTGGAGACATAAAAAATTTAATCCATTACTTTTAAAAGCTATTCAAATTACAATCCTAGAATATGTGAACAAGATTTTGAAATTTACTGTTATATTGTTGAACACTGTCCCATGAAGAGTAATTCCAATTTTAATATGTAACAGTTGTTGATAAAATATTGCATACAAACCTTGTGTTCTTACAACATTTAAGATCTGCATCTTGAGTCATTGAGGGTGTACATGTATCCAGGAACTTGAAAATGATGGACGGCAGAGGGATACAAGCAGTTTCATTAAAGTTGATCAGCCGCAGTCCTGTTGGGGACTTGATTCTACTCACCCCTACCCCAAGTTGTCCTGGGGAGAAAATTTGTTGGCAATCAATTTCCACACTACAAATATTTAAAGACACAATTAATGAGGATGATCGAGAGCTTATTTAAAATTTCCTTTTTACTACTGTTAAATTTGTTAAAAGCAAGATTATTTTCTTCAAACAATTAAACACATTATATAATACAGTTATTGACTAGATATGAGGGCAACATATGATTTCTGGGACCTGAAAGTAAAATTGTTAGAGTTGAAAAAAAAATTATTTTTAGAGGGGATGGGGGAGCTGCAAATGGTGTCTGATAGGAAAAATTCATTGATTTGCCCCCGTCCTCTTTTTTTATCAACTCTTTTCACTTATAGATTTGTACCTACCTGTCAAGTGTCATACCCTGGGCTTTATGGATTGTTAAGGCAAATGCAAGTTTGACTGGAATTTGCTTCCTCTCAGCAAGATTTCTTCGCAACACAGGACTGAATACTGAAATAAAGTTCTGTTTTAATGAATCATAAACTTGAACATATTAGTAATTCTATTTATTTACTTTAATGTCAATAATTAAATTTCAAAAACTGAATTTCTTATTTTTTATTGGATCAGCTGAGCAAAACGCTCAAGTGAGTTAACATTTATCTCTCTGGAATCCGTCTGTTTCTGTCATCTGTAAACTTCAGGTGTTATGACTAAACGTTAAACATTTTTGACTTATTCAGAACTAGCATCCTTAGGTTACAGGGATTCAGGTTTGTTTAAATAAAAATAAGGGAAGATGATTTACAAATAAAAAAAAAATGTGTGTTTAATTAAAAAAAATCTCTACCAGTTAAAGATCAAGTCACTTGGTCAGAAAATATAAGACTATCTAGAGAGTTTCCTTATAAAATGCTATAAAATATTGAAATTTTATCACATCATAGGCCCGGGAGCTAGGATGAAACCAAAAAAGGGGGTTAAAGTTTTAGGCCATTCCAAGTTTTTTCTATGTTTAGTGTCTGCAGACGAAATGTTTTTGAGGTTGTGAAATTAAAATCAAACACAAATTAAAATTGATAAATACAAATCTTTGAAAGGCAATTTACTCTTTCGGGATCAGAAACTCTCTTTTTTTAAGTGGTGTTCAAAAAAATATTTTGCTTCAATTAACTAGTAGTTAAACTTAGTTACAATGTTAGAAGAATTCTTAAAGAATGATGAGAAATTCTAGAATTGTGCTTAAATTGTTGTGTGTTTCCCTTATGGTTTGTGTGTTTTTTATGGATAGAAAGATAGGATTTCAAATTTAGGGTGGATGCTAAACAAAGAAAAAATTTGAATGGCCTTATGAGAAAGATACATGAGAATTCTTTAATATATCCTCTTCTGAAGAACAGTTGGACAATAGGATCATAATTGGTCATACAAGTATGGAAGCATGCTCAGGTAGTGCCAATTTAAATTTGTTAAAATTGCTATTAAAGTTTGTTCAAACCTTAGGCCCAGGAGTAGGACAGGGCCACAATATGGGGTCAATTAAGACTCTTTATAGGAATTATTCTGTTTATACATTATAAATAGCATAGCCTCACACAATTATTTTTCTTAAAAATATTCCAAGAACAGCATGGCCAGTGTGGCTCAGGTGTGCACTGTGGTCCATTGGCCTCTTTTGTTATATAATGCTTTGACTTTTGTATTCAAATACATGTTGAATTTGATAAGAATGACCCTATAAATCACTGCTGTATAACTGTCAGTACAGTTAATATCATTTACTGTAAATTTATACATACATTGTAATTTTTAGTAGTAATTTTGAGTACCTGAAAATCTTTCTTGTTTAATCTTGACAGTTTCATCAACAGAAGCAAAATGTACCAGTGGGCCATCTCTTTCACAGGACACCACAGTTCCCTGTAACCCATTTACAAACTTTTTGGTCAGATTTTTCAATAGAATAACGGGGCAATCTTTCTTCAACCACAGAACTTGTGGTGCTGAGACTCGAGACAAACAAGAAATCTCTCCAGAATCCTCTGCTAAATACTCTGTATGAATCCCTGGCATTTCAAAAAGACACTTTCTGTTGTGTCTATTTACTAATTCATTTGTTGCATATAGCTTCACACTTGATGGAACATGAAGTGGTCTATCAAGACTCTGTAAAAAGGTCTTTGATTTCTGACTTAAAAAACCTCTAGCTATTTCGTTGATGGTGCATACAAATTCAATATCATTCTGTCTCACAACATTTTTTAAAATGATACGATGTGGAAATACAGTATCAAAGAGTGGACTGAGGAAACAGAAATTCCCAGCGTCATTGTATATAGCATTTCTTACTGGGGGCAATTGCATGAAATCCCCACACAGTATTACCTGGATGCCTCCAAAATATTTTTGTTCGTCTCTCAATGAACATACTTCTTCAAGTTGTTCAAGTAGTTTTTGTGACAGCATAGATATTTCATCCACAATTAGAACATCTGTTGCACATATTCTGTTATATACATCCTTTTTGTGGTGTTTGACAATGCTTTTAATTTCACTAGTATCATGCCTAAAACAAAGGATTCAGATTTTAAGCAAGGTCATAAAGTATTAATGTGCTAGTTTTAGAATATCATTTATAATAAATAATCTATTTTAACTTTACCTGACAAGAATGTCAGCATACATGAAATTAAGTTGCTGCAGATTCGGGTAGTACAAGTATACTGAATATGTATGAATTAAGGAATCCCGGTGGAATGTGGACATAGCATATTATTATTATTTTCACATGACAGCGATTTTGAAAACAAGCATAGAAGATATGTGCTAATAATAATTGGTCATCATTTATATTGATGAATTTTTACCAAAATTTATATTCAGGTTTTCCAGCAGTGGACATTGTTCATTAGCATAATAAATTAGTGTGTTTGTTTATAGCTCTGACAAAAATGTAACAATGGGGTATTAATAAATACAGATAGATCTTGCTGAATGACAATGTTTCACCTCTTCAGCCCCCCCCCCCCAAAAAAAAAAAAAAAAAACTTGCACCCTCCCTCCCATATATTGGGAACCGGGAACACCAAAGTTCATTTCAATTGAGAAAAAAAATAAAACTGTGGCCATGGGCCTGATATAAATTACAAAATAAGACAAGGATTGACGGACAATAAATATATACTTTGAAAAAATTACCTTCCATCATCTAATCCAGCCCAGCTGTGAATTGTGGCTGCATCAAATCTCGAAGGGAAGTTTGTACAAGCTATTCCTGTAGTGCATGTTAGTGCAATACTTTTTTTGTTTTGAAGACTCTCAAATATTTGCGAAAGAAGTACTGACTTCCCAGTACCTGCTTGGCCTCCAATATACAAATTGTGGCCCTCAAGTGCGATTTTAAGCGCACGTTGCTGTCCATCAGTAAGGTGCATCTTTTCCACCATAGGTGTTTACGTTGAAAATAAGCGATGAGTATGGAGTTCTTCCGAAAAAATCCGCCAAACGATTGTCCAATCAGTGCGCATCTTTCATTTGGGTATTCGGGAAAAACAAAATGGCCGGAAGTTACAGACAGCCAGTGAACAACGAATAATTTATTTGCATTTGCGGCTTTATAATGGATTAAATAACACATAGATAGAGTAAGTGATATTCTTTTGCGACTCTGCTTGTTGATATATGTTAATGATAGTAATGGCATCGTGCAATAAGTATGTTCACTCTTGAAGCGAAAGTAGAAATCGGCCTGCCAGTAAATGTACGACCTACTTAGAAATAACAGACATGGGGGTACATCTCAAGAACTACGTAGGATCCAGCGGTGAAAATTGGTATGCAATAAGAAGAGAGTTTATTTTATTCACTGCAAGCATGAAAAAGTGGAAGTTTTGCCGTTTTGTTAAATTAAATAGCTTCTGAAGCGAAGGGGTGTCAAAAATAAATGGCAGAGTTCATAACCTTCTTTTTATAATATACTAGGGGGTCAAAAATTCAAGCGAGTTTGGTGCCTGTGTGATCTACTACCAGCAGAGTGTAGGTGTTGTCCAAATGATGTACAAAATGAGAAAATTGTTGGAAACTTCAATTTTCAGCCATCACCGTCTGACAAAGACAAAGTCACCGCCTCCTCTCTGATGACTACTCCTTCTCTCCCCGGTATCAGTAAACAAGGAGACGTAACTCCACATCTCACACCTGACATTACAACACCACACACCTCCCCTCTCAGGACGCACGGACTGAGTACGACCAATTTGACAACTTTCTCCCCCATGTCACACGGAAACGTGACTTTTCATATCACAGTCCCCTCCCGTTATCGTAATAAATCTGTCATTACGACTCCACTAACGTCCGTCCAATTCGCACGGAGACGGGAAATTAAACAGTATATCCCCCTCCCGCTGCTATAATACACCTGACACTACGACCGTTTCAACGAGGGATACGACCCCTAGTACCAATGAGAGTTCGGAAATGAACTATACTATTTATTCATCATAATTTTTTAGTCATAATGTGTGTCTGTGTATTGAGATTAAAACGTAGAAAAACACGATGTGTTTGTGAAACACTGATGCCCCCGTATGGCAACTAATAGCGAAGGTTATACTTTCTCTCTGTCATGTGATTCATCTTATTTCTTGACACATAACCTTCTGGGGCCCGTTTTACAAAAGAACTTACGACTAAGACCAAGATTTAATTCTGTTAAAGGTCTCCTATATGTTGCATCCACAGATCTTGATCACTAATGAATGAACATCCACGTTCTTCCTGTTCTTGGGTGCTCAAATGCAAATCAAATATGTTGGTACCCAAAGTAAGGTCTTGTAACGAGGAATATTCTTGTGTAATATGAAAGCCCTGACAGCAACCGTTGAAATGATATGGAAAAGGTTAAAGTTTTTCAAAGTGCTCAAAGAAAGGCTTTCTTAAAGTTTTTCTAAAGTAAGTCAAACTCGTATGTCAATGTCAAAGTTGTTGGTATCCTAAGGAAGGTCTTGCCACAGGGATTACACATGTGAAGTATGAAAGTCCTAGCACCAACCGTTCAAAAGTTATGGCCAAGGTTATAGTTGGGAAAAATTTTGTAAAAACTGGGTCAAACTCCAAGGTCAAATATGATGGTACCCAAAGAAAGTCCTTGTCACAAGGAATACACATGTGAAATATGAAAGCCATAGCTCCAACCAATAAAAAGTTAAGGTTAAAGTTTTTGCGGACAAACAGACAGACAGACGGTTCTCCATGTCTTACAGATTATGAATGAGGCTGTTGTGGATCCACCTGGACTGAATTTTAGAATGTCCACTGGAACAGACAATTGAAGATACTTAAAAAATCGGTAGTTCTGCTTCGAGTCTATAAATGGTTCTTTTTTATTAGTCCCCTACCGGTGAAACCGGAGGGGACTATAGGTTTCCTCTGAGTCTGTCCGTCTGTCCCACTTGTTTTCCGCACTTTTCTTCTAAACGCGTGCAGATATTAAGCTATTTTTGGAATGTGAGTGTATCTTGATGAGTTACAGATAGTTTGCATTTCGTTCCGCTTCAATGATTTTTGACGGAATTACGACCTTTTCAATTTTTCAGGGTTTTCCGTGTGACTTTACCTTGATGACTTCTAGATCAAGTTTGCATTTCTTTTCGCTTCATTGATTTTTGACGGAATTATGGCATTTTCAATTTTTAATGGGAACCAGACTACATTTGCCGGTAGGGGACTAGTATTGCTAATGCAATACTCTCAGAATGCTTGTTAAAAACAAAATACCTCCAACTTCCTTTTCCTTTCATGACAGCATCTAGCAGAAGGTATTGCTGCTTGACCATTAATGTTGGTGTCTTATGGTCAATAGTCGTAGAGTGATTCTCTGCATGATTTTTCTGCATTTCTTCCTAAGATTTTTTCATTTCAGGAATTTTTAATATTACCTGTATCACCATGCTTCTTAATATATAAAGATAGTAATATAATACAACAGTTGCTGTTAAGAGGACAATACGAAGATTGAGCTACCTAAAGAAGATATACCCCGAGCCCAAAAGCCGAGTGAATACTGTACTTTAGGGATGGCTTAAAACCAGGCCTAGAGTATAAAAGGAAACGGGAGGAACTAATAAATATGAAAATCACATATTATCCTATATGTTCAGCTGAGCAGAGATGTTTTGAAAAGTAATCACATCTTAATATGTTATATTGCCTCAAAATTTGGCACAGTAACACATTTCCTTTCTAGTTATCCCTGTATGAAGAAATATTCATTGAATAAATATTTTATTTGCTAAAATATACACCAAAACATCTGAAGTGAACAGATTTCAAATCTATCTCTGCTCTTTGTATGAACAGTTGACCCCGGGTCATACTGAATTGTAATGAACAAAGCAGAGATGTAAATAAACAGAGCCATGTGGATGCAGAAGTAAGTTTATTAGCCACTTACTGCAGTGAAATGCCATGCAGAACTGAATAAATCGAAACCCACACAATATATAAAAAATAAAATATGTATGTAACACTTATTATTGAAAACAGATGTTTAATGCACAACAGTTGTATAATATAGTATTCATGACCACTTGTGTTTCATGTACAGTCTTCCTGAAGGATTAGGGTACAAGTTCCTCACTAAAGATGATACATATTCGGGCATTATTTCTCATAGGGTCCACAATGTATTTTCAGTCTCACTGCCAGCTTTATTTAGTTTTTCTGCTTTCTGGGCTATGTATCGCGGATGATTCCATGCATATCTTCTTGACATCATTGTTCAAAACTTCTTGTATTTGGTTTTCCTGATTGTGGAATTCCTATCATGGGGTGGTGAACCATTTCCAAGCCAGCTCTGTCCTTTAGTGGTTATACATGGATGACAAAAACAATACATGCATTACTGGTCATTGATCTGTGGTGTTTCATCATCATCTCCATGTCCAGGATTACCACCCACTAGTTGCTGATCCTTATTGTTTTCACTTGTGCTGCTGACTACTATCTCCTGGTTTACAACAGGTCTTATCTCTTCATCAGTATTTCCCTCTGAATGGTTGTGTACAAAGTTGAAAAGTCGTAAGTTTTTAAGCTGTAGATTTTGGTAAAATCTTGTGATTTCAAATTTTTTTAAAAGTTCCTTGGAATTTTTAAGTATCCACATCGGATTTACACCACTTCTCGAATATATTGTTGCACAGTACTCTTGAAGTTTCTCCTTCACCACTGTTAATATCTTAGTGAGGAGTAAAGATAGAGGCTTGGTTGAACATTTACTGGAACCCGCTATGTATCTTTGTTTGTAAGGATTTTTATGAAGTTTTGGAATCCAATATAAATATGGTAATTCAAATTCATTTTGGTTGTTTGGAATATTAAAAATATTCAAAACTGACATATGATTTTGAAGAATTTCTTCCTTAGAAAGGGAACTATGAGTATAAGTTGGATTACCACTTGTAGAATTAAATCCAAGTTCCTCTAAAATACATTTAATATAATGAGCCTTACAAACAAAGACAATGTTGTTACCTGCTTTGTCAGCAGGGACCAGTACGTACTGATCATGTAATTTATCTAATTCTTTTTTCACTTCTGGATTATTGAATACAGAAGGATAGATGGTTTTCATATTGCCTCTCAATCTTTTAATGCTTTTTATGTTCTGGAATACAAAATCATAACAAAACTTTTCAAGAGTTTTTGGACGTTTGTTTGCATGTTGTCTAACGTCCCTCTCGAGAATTTTTCACTCATATGGAGACGCCACTACTTGTCGGTGGAGAGCTGCAAATTTTGTCCTATACTCGGAACTTACGACCATTGAGCAGCGAGGGATCTTTTTCGTGCCAGCACCTACTGCGACACGGGACCTCGGTTTATACGGTCTCACCCGAAGGACCGGTCTACACGTCCCACAGTGGGATTCGAACCCGCGATGTTAGATCAACTCCTTACTACGCGACTCTAGAGCAGACGCTCTAACCACTGTGCCACGCGGGCGACAGTTTTTGGACGTAAAGAAATTGCAAAGGTTTGAAGAAGTTTGAAGAAGAATACAATGGAATAAATATGACAGATGCCCGACATCTTCTTCTTTACTCCGAGACATCAAGCAGTCAAACTGTTGGCATGATTGTAATAAGCACTGAGCCATCTACCAAAATTGTGAAATTCATGGCCCCAGGATCAGGGGTTCTGGCGCTAGGGTGGGGCTTAATAGTTCATATAGTGAAAGTGCATTATTTCTTTGAAAATCTTCTTCTCTGCTCCTGGGTATAAAAAAAGTTACTAAATACATAGTTATGATGAGCAAGAGTGCCTCTTCCAAAATTGTGAATTTCATGGCCCCGGGTTCTGGTGTTAGGGCGTGGCTGTATGGATTATATAGTGAAAATGCAGTAATTCTTTGAAAATCATCTTCTTTGCTCCTGGATATTATATAAAGTAACTAAGTTACTTAGTTATGATGAGCAAGAGTGTCTCTTCCAAAATTGTGAATTTCGTGGCCCCAAGGGTCAGGGGTTCTGATGTAAGGGCGTGGCTCTATTGACTGTAAAGTGAAAATGCTTTAATTCTTTGAAAATCTTCTTCTCTGCTCCTGGATATTAAATAAACTAAGTACATAGTGACGATGAGATATGAGGATGGTTGCCTCTTCCAAAATTGTGAATTTCATGGCCCCAGGGTCAAGGGATCTGATGTTAGGGCGGACCTCAATTCTTTATATAGGGAAAATGCATAAATTCTTTCAAAATCTTCTTCTCTGCCCATTGGTATTATTCAAACAAAGGAAGTGCATGGT